CGCTACCGCTTGAGCCACATCCCCATCACCCAAATTGAAACATTTTGAACTCAAGACACCATCAGAAACGCAAAAAGGCAGCCCACGCGATGGGCGAGCATATTTGGAATTCTTAGAACTCAAAGAACAGGCAACTCACCCAGTTTAAAAAGGGCAAAGAGTCTGCATAGACACGTCTCCAAGAAGACTCCAGAGGGCCACAGCACATGAAAAGGGGTCACCCTCACTGGCCATCAGAAAGGTGCACATCTGTGCCGCGTGGCACACCAATCCACACCCGCTGGAATGGTGGACAGGCACCAGCCTGGTGAGGGGTGCAGCAGCCGCAGCCTCATTCCTGCTGGCAGGGCGGGGACAGGGGCAGCCCCTGTGCTGGTGAGAAGACAGACCTCCCCAGCAGCCCCGMGCTGTGTACCCCAAACGCATGCTCTGATGCCTACTTCGGCACAATTCACACCAACAAAAATGGCACCCACCCAAACGGCTGCTGCACGGATGAAGGAGTGAACAGGGAGTGCTCCACCTGTAAGCGGAAATCATTCCGCCACCAGACAGAAGCCGCACCCTGCRACAACGCGGGTGAACCTGTGCCACGTGCACAGCCAGCCTCACGGCAGACATGCCATTCCACCACAGCAAGCCCACAGTGGGGCTCCACGGCGACAGGCCAGCAGCTGCTCAGGGCTGGGAGAGGGACAGGACCTGGCCAGGGGTGACAGTTAAAGAGCACAGGGCTCGGAGGCTGCTGTCCACACCTTTTCCACGGGCCAACCCACGTACAGTGTGGCGTGCTTCTCCACCGAGCTCCAGCCGCAGAGCACCAGCCTCCAGTGGGCCTCCCCCGAGGTCACTTCACACCTGCCCCTCCAGCCCTGCCAGAAGCCAGCCAGCCCCTGCACAGGCGTGTGGAAGGCTGCCCCTGGGATGCCTAGGGTGGCAGGTGTGGCAGCACACCTGGGGGACCCTCAAAGGCCCAGCATGAGGTCACATCCTCCAGGGGGGTCTGGACACCAGGGACAGCTCAGGGTTATCTTAAGTCCTCAGGGTTGTCCCAATCCCTGAGGTCCTGGGACCACAGCCCCTCCCTTGCCCACCTGGCAGGCCCACTCAGACCTGAAGAGCGCTAAGCAAGGGTGTGCCTGGTTGCAGCTGTCCCCTGGGAGAGGAGGGGAGGGGCTGGCAACCCCCCCCTTGTCGCCACCATGACGCCCGCCCTTGCCACCTTGTCCTTCCTGTCGGAGGCTCCCCAGGTTCTGTGGGGGCATCAAGTGCCCTCCACCATGCCCACCTGAGACTGGGGACAGGGGTCCCCTCCTTCCAGAGGCATCTCTGAGGGATGGAGGGTGGTGGGGCTGTAGGCTTCCTGCTCAGCTGCTGCAGGCTGTGCTAACTCCCAGGCCCGTTGCAGGGCTGAGCCTTCCAGCAAGGTCCAGGTCAGAGTRGGACAGGTGCCCAGGCCCAGCCTCAGGGCAGCACAGGTTGAAGTGGTGAGGTGGCTACAGCCAGGGCAGCCAAAGCAACCACCCACAGAGTGCTGGGTGTGAGCCACAGCAGTCCAGGAACCCAGGCTTCCGGAGGAGACACACCTGGGCCCACCACGCCCAGGGCGGCTCTGGTCGAAACTAGCAAAACCTGGAARTAGCTCAACAAACAAGGTTCATCCACGATGGAATGTTACCCAGTGTGGAAAAAGGACTCTTGGGTGCCTCGCAAAGGCTCTGTGAAGTGACAGGTCCAAGCACTTCCAAGGTAGGGGCCCAACTTAAAATAAATGAGCCTGGGGGCGGGAAGAGTGGAGACGCCACCCTGGATCTCACACACCAACAGCTGAGGCTGCATGGATGGCGGGCTGCCCCTCACCTCTCCTACCCTAGGCTGCCCGCAGGAGCTTTGGGAAACACTTGGGCAACCTCCCCGCTGCCCCAGCCTGTGCCCTGAAGTTAGGTATCCCCCAACTCCCTTGAAYTCACCACCCTGCACTCCCCTGCCCTCCACACCCACCCAGCAATGGGCACCGCCACGTGGTGGCCCGCTCCCAGCAAGCAACCATCAGTCCTGTCCTCCTCTCCAAGTCCCCACTCACTCCACAGGGCCAGTCCTGCCACAGGCTTTGCACCTGATCTTGCTCATGACTGTTTTGGGTCCTGTGTCCCACACTAAAAGGAACTCGGGTCGAGCTCTGGATGTCACTGGGCTCCCGCGGCTGGCCCCACGCAGGCAGGGAGCTGCAAGCCAGGCCACGCCAAGGCCAGAGGGCAGGAATCAGCTTAAGGTCATTCTGGGCTGCCAGCTCTTGAGGTTAAAGGGCAAACTCAAAAGATTAATGCTTGAGGCTTAACCTACTGGGCAGTACAAGGGGATGTGGCTCCTGACCTCTTCTCAGTTGCCCCACCTGGCTTGGGTCAGAGAGCTGCATGCTTGGGGCTGCGCGGAGCCTGGCCCACAGAATGCTGCAGGGACCTGGCCTCCCTTAGAGATGCCCACTGGCTAGAGAGTCCAGGGTCCTTGAGGAGGCCAACAGGCAGGAGGGGCCACCCTCCTGCCCGCAGGAGCTTTGGGAAAYACACGGGCAACCTCCCCACTGGTGAGCTGTGCTCGAGGCGAGGCCTGGGAGTCAGAGCASCCTTGTCGCTCCCTGGACCTGCTGCAGCAGAGGGCCGGGGTCATGGGCCTGGACAGGCCTCATCCAGGATACCACCTTCAGGACCACCACGTGCTCCCATGGCAGGAGCTGGCGGGCAGCCTCAGGCAGAGGCTTCTGCAAGTCCCCCTCCTGGCGGACATGCACACTTCAGTAGGCAGGGCTTGGCTGCCACCAAGCCTGTGCTCAGTGCTATCTGACTCTGGAGAAGCTGAGACCTGGCAACATGGACCAGTGTCAYTCAGGGTGTGGAGGCCATCCAAGGAAGGGGACCTGCCCACATTTCCCTGGGTCTCAGGCTCCCCAACTGGGCTTTGTGACCCCCAACCATCTGCCCTCACTCCCGAGGACGCATCTCAGGCCTGAAGCAGGGCAGCCCAGATATCTGGCCACCAGCCACCAGCCCTGGGAGCCTCACAAAACCACCAGAGTAACAGCACACACTCAGCAGGCCGTGTGGCCAAACTGCCCCCCACCTTGAGGAGGGCAACTGCCCAGAGGTGACCATGGGGGCCCAGGCCACACAGAGCCCCTATGTCCTCCTGGGTACCCAGGGCCCAGACCTTGGCTTTGCCCAGTTGTGCTGGTCAGGGATGCCTCAGTTACGGTCAAGGGCAGGAGCCATATTCCAACCTACTTGCACAGCGGGGGCTAGGCTGGTTCCCCCAGAGCCGGCCATGCTAAGATGCTGACCACACCAAGTCCACGAGGCAGCAGGCCAGGAAGGGGCCAACTTTAATATGGGGGCAACCTGTTTGGGGTTAATGAGRAAGCTCCCTATTCCTGGTGGCCCCTGCTCTTGTGCTGTTCATGGGCCAGTGAGACCCCGGCCAGGCTGTCTGATGGCGAAACAGGGGCCTTGCATGAGCAGTGGCTTCAGGCTGAGCCTGCTGTCCCGGCAGCTGGTGGTTGGGGCCGTCCAGGATAGCCACGGGCACATGGAGCACGCCTCGGCTGCTACGGCGAGTCTCACCATCCCCTTCAGGATGTCTTTTCTCAGCAAGGCAGAGCCACTGTGTGGGGGCACGGCTGGGGCTCCGGGAGTCAATCTAGCAGCGACAGCCCCCCGGCCCAACTCTCCCAGAGGCTAGAAGCTTGCCTAGGGTGTCAGGTAGAGGTGCCAAGAGGTTCTGGGGTGTCTGCCCCTACCCAGCAAGGAAGCTGAGGCATGTCGGGGCCCGCTGGCCGATGCTCTCCACCAGCTCATGGGACAGCAAACAGCAAGAAGGGCAGGAGGGGCTGAGGCCTGGGGCTGCTTTCCCACAGGCACCAGGGCTGCTGAACAGCACCAGGGGCGGGTGGCAGGCCTGGGCCTCTGCCACCATGGAACCACCCCGTCAGAAGCCGGGCCTGGCCAAGGGTCTGCATGTCGCTGTTTAATCCAGAATGAGAGCAGAACAGCAGTGTCACTGTGCAATCAGACTGAACCGTGAAGGGACACCCAGGAGCCGTCCCAGCACGTGAGCCTGAGTGCTGCTGTTCCGCCCGACAGCACCTTCCGTGCTGGCCAGCCCGGCCACGCCAGCCGGCCTCCTGGGAGCCCTCCGGGGCTGCCACACACCCAAGCTGCGTGGGTTTATCCTTGTAGAATCCCGCGAGTCCTGTGAGGGGCTGAGCTACGAGGCTGCCACCAGGTCTGCGGGCCTGGCTCTGACCTTGACAGGGTCTTTTTCTGTGAAAGAAACAGACACATCTGTGATATGGAAAAGACCACGGCAGATGCTTCCAGAAGACGAAGTCAGAGGCCACTAGAGAAGGCCACTATGAGAAGGTGTGCCCAGCCAGGGGAGGCAAGGTACAAACAGGAAGCCAGTGGGCCCACACAGGACAGGGGAGCATGGCCCCCAGACCAGCTCCAGTGAGGGGCAGGGCCCCTGGAGCCACAGAGGATCAGGAAACAGGAAGACCAGGACAAGAGAGTCAGGCCTGCTGGGGTCTCTGAGAACCTGGGACAGATGCCACCACAGGGGAGCCACCCTCAGCTGCACAAACACCCCGGCAGGGCCTGCACCCCGGCAAGGCCTGCGTGGCTGACGAGCCTCTTCCCAATTCTAGCATCTGGACGTGGCTGCAATGGGCCTGGCTCTCCGCCCCAGCTCCCCCGCAGCCAGCCATAGCTGCAGGCTGGCCGGCCCACTGCACTGGGAACGCTGGCCAAGGGAGCGTTGTGTTGTTCCCTCCTAGAATGCGCCGTCCTGCATCCCAACAAGCTCAGAAGGATGAGGCAGGGAGGTACCTGGGAGTGTTTTAGGAAGGGGCTCCGAAGGAACCTCTGGTAGCTCTATTTGTTCCTGTAAAAAGCAGAGGGTAAGGCTGTAAGGCAAGCGGTCTCCGAGGAAAGAAAACAAGTACTTAACTAGCTACTGCAGTCGGATTTAAGCAGGACAAGAGCCCTCCTGTTCAGACCCGAGTCTGCACCCCCCAGCTCCAGGCATCTCTGGAGATTCAAACCACCCCAGGTAGGGACACAGCCACTATAGCAGTGGCTTCTACGATGATCCTGGGGTCCTGTGGAGCACAGTGGCCAACTCTTGGGCTGTCCCTAGAGGCCCCAATTCCCAAGGCTAGGCCATGCCAGGACCATGGGTGTGATATGGAAAAGATATGGACACCCAGGCTGTGCTGGTGTCCACAGGTCCAGAGAASGACAGTGGCGTGACTGCTGGGAGGTGTCAAGGAGCCGTCACCCCAGGGCAGTCTGTGGGGGAGGCCACCTCCCAAGCTGAGGCCTCTTTACCTTGGGGCCTGTTTTCCTATGCAGTTCACCAGGCTCTCAGGCCCCAGTGGACAGGAGGTCATGGACCCTGGAGGGCTGGGGCAGCAGGCAGCTCTTGGGGCACAGGGAAGCCCTGGCACACTGARGCAGGGGCCCACAGAGATGGCGCACTCTGCACAGACGTTTGGCAGAGGAGGATGCGATTGCAGAACAGACCCCCCTGAGCCCAACCTGCACAGCAGCCCAGACACAGGCAAGGGGAGAGACCCACATCACGGCTGGGAGGCCTGGCATCTACCCTATCCACACACAGGTCACTGCCTGTGCCAGTCCTGGGGGTCAGCCCTGGAGACCACTCATCCATGCCGTCTCTTCAAGCTGCTGCTTGAGTTATGGAGAAAGGCCTCTGTTTGGCACAGACCCGAGTCACTTTAGGAAGGAAAAGCAGGTGCAAAACCAGGACCCTGCACTCAAAGACAGCTGCATATGCCACAGGTAGAGGCCTACTGCATCCTGTCACCCAGTAAGTGGGGTCTTACTGCTTAGGCAACCATGCCTGACCCTGGGTCTCATCACCCAGCCACTGTGCCCAGCCCTGGGGTCCTGTACCTGAGTGATTGCATTCAGTTCCTCCAAGATGGCATCTTCATCCTCCTGGGTGAAGCTTCCTGCTAACAGCTCATCTATTTGCTGCACAAGAAGGAATAGCAGTTAGGTCTGTTAGGTTGGGGCCCAGGGACAGGAGACAGCCTGTGGCTCCAGGCCTCCCCTGGACAGCAGCAGCYGTCATGTGAAGAAGGGCGGTTTGCCCCCAACGTCCTCCAAGCTGGCAACAGCACTGGGCAGCAGGTGGGGGAGGCCTCGGTACCAAGCAACACCTACCCGCTGGTACTCCACGGCCTCCTGGGTCTCGTCCAGGATCCTCTCCACTTCCTCTATGGACATCACCTGGAGGTCACGAGGTTTGGAAGCGTGTCAGTGAGGCAGACGACAGCCCCTTCATCAGGGGCCACGCCTTGGTGCTCTGCCCCTGCTTAAGTGAAACCAGGCGAGGGGGCACCTGACCAGTCTGCTGGCCAGTCTGCGGAGGCAGGGCCCTGGCCTGGGCTGCCAGAGCTGTCAGACCTGACTTCAGAGGCCTTGGGCTGCAGGGCCTAGACCCCCTTCCCCCGAGCCTGCCCTGGCATCATTTTCTAGGTGGGTGATTTGATTGCCAGGGTGAGTTCAAAATGGCGTCTCTGCTTAGCTGGCATACGTACCACCAGTACCACACTCAGCCAAGCGGCACTCAGGAGCTCAGCTCTCCCACAGCCCACCTGCTGGCCCACTCATCTGAGCAAGAGGGAGGAGGCCCACGCTGGGCTTCCTGAGGCGAAGAGGGAGCTTGCTGCCCCTAGGGAACCTTCGAGGTTACTCATCACACTGCTCTTTACCCTAGCCAGACCTCTGGTCACTAGTACCCACAGACCCAGCCCACACAGCACTGTGAAGCACCCTCCTTGGTCCTTTTGGCCCCGAGTGCCTGTGCCAGCCACTGATGGTGCCCCTGGCCCAGCCCAGGTGCTGGGCAGGAAGCCCTGCTGGCTCTACTGGACCCCCTCCTCCATGCCTCGCCCAGCAAGGACCTACCTGGTGCATCTTGTTCAGACACTCATTCCCCACCTGCAGCCCCTCCAGCACCTTCATCTCGATCTGGGTGAACTCGATGCTCTGGACCTGAAAAGAACCAGCCCCAGAAGGTCAGTAGCCTGCCTGTACTCCTGACCCAGGGGCAGGGTTCAGGGCAACAGCATGCTAACCAGGGGCTTCTGGACATTAGGACAACTTCTGCACTCCCCCTTCCTGTCCCCTCCCATGGCCCATTGGAGACAGAGGACAGAGAAGGTGCCAGGAGACATGTGAAGGACGTCTGAGTACTCAATCGGTGGCTCAGGCTACCCAGAGTGGAACCATGCTGCTTGGGCCATGCACACTACCAGGGGTGGCTCAGCCCCAACCCTGAGCACGCGTAGTGCCCCTAGGACCATGTGGCTCCGGGCAGGGGTCCTGCATGCCTACCATGGTCTCCAGGCTGCTGATCTGGCTCTCTGTCCTGTCCAGGAGCTGCTCCCGGTATCGCTTCTTCTTGAGCAGCAGCTTGGCACGTCTGCAAGGGAAGCCGGGGTGAGGGCTGTGGCCCTAGCTGGTCCTGCCCACCATCTGCAGGCCACCTCCCCTCCCCACCCACTCACTCCTTCCGGCCATCTCGCAGGAGCTGCCGGGCCAGGGCCCGCTCCCGCTCCAGCTGCTGCGAGACCCTCTTCTGGTACTGCCTCAGCTTGTCCCGCTGCTGCTTCAGTTGCTGCAAGAGAAAGTGGTCTGGTATCGGGCAGCCCACACGACTGGGCCCGGGGCCAGGCTGCCTAGCTCTGCCCATGCTGGCCGGGGGCTCACAAAGGAGCTCTCAGATGTAGGCCACCCTCTAAAACAGCGACCTCTGTGGGGCAGGACTATCTCCCAGGGATGTGTGGCAACACACCCAGAAGCACTTCCAATTTCTTGATGTGGGGTGCTGCTGGCATCTGCTACCTCCCATGTCCACTGTACCAAGGAGAACCTCACTCTAGTCACCACAGCCTGGCCCAGGACACAGGAGGATGGGCTGTGAGCAGTAAGTGTGCTCAGGGCCAGGCTGGGAAGCAGCCACCAGTCAGTCCCTGGAAGGTTCACATACAACAAGGAGCAGGCRGCTGAGGGCACCTGAGCCCACAGCACTCACAGCCCAGCAGAGGCTTGGGACGTCCCTCTTGCCTCTTAGTGTGTGCTTAGCTTCCCCCTTTCACTTCTGTCCATGTGAATGGAATACAAGCTGCCAGCAGGCGATGTGCCCATCAACTAAACTCCTTTCCACCTTGGCTGCCCAGAGGCACAGGCACTGCCCCCTGGTCTCTCTTCCCTCCTGAGGTCATTTCCTAAGATGAAATGGTGGTGCTGTGATGAGCAGCGTCAGGGTAGTTCGCACACTCAGGACCCGGCCTGCAGGATGGTTCCTGCTAGTGAACCCAGTCAGGGAGATGCTCGCCTTTAGGCTCAGGGAGTAATCGGGGTATACACTGCCTCCCTCCCGGTGCTCGCCAAGGGCCGGCCCTGCAGGGCCAGGAGGGAAGGCGCCCACTGTGCAGCCCCCACGACCCCAGCCTGCCCGCCCTGCGCCTGCAAGGCCTTCCTGGCCACCACCCACAGCCCGCAGGGGAGACACGGCCTCAGAGAGAGTGGAGGAGCCCACAGAAGGCAGGCTGGCTGAGGGCAGGCAGAGGGCAGGGGCAGCACTGTGCTCTGGGACAAGGAGCACCTCGGACCGCGAGGGGCGGGCAGGTCTGAACCACTCTGAACCGGTGAGGGTTCTGCTTGGAGAGCGAAGGGAGGGTTCTGCTTGGAGGGCGGCGGGGCGGCGGGGCGGCGGGGCTGAGCTCAGTTAGTGACCGGCTGCTGCCGGCGCTGCGGATGCCCCGGGGTCCAGAAGCCGGGTGGGAGCCGCCTGGCCCCGACCGGGTTTCCACGGTACAAACAGAGCCCACTTCGAGGCAGACTTAGAGGGGAGCGTCCGAAAGCCAGCGGCCACGTCTGGGCGCCTTCTGGAGGCGGACTTCGGTTCGGAAACAGGTCGCTGTGGCTGCGCGTCCCTCCCCGGGGCCCGCGGGTCCCTCCCCGTCCCCGACTCCGCTCCGCTGGAGAGCTGGGCACTCGGCCGCGGCCCAGCCCTCCCGCCGCGACTCACCAGGATGGCTCTGTCCTGCTCGGTGACCCGGCTCTGCTTCTTGCGGCCGAACAGATTGCCCATGGTGGCCCCGCGCCCGCAGCCCGGCCGAGCCGCCGCCGCCCTGCGGCCACCGTACCCGGCGCCTACGGCGGCCGCGCAGGGCCCCGCTCCACGGAACGCGCCCGCGCCTGCGCGTCCCACCCCGTCCCATCGGGTCCGCCGCAGGGCCGGAGGTCGCGCTCGCGCGCCGCCTGCTGGACGCGGTGAGGGGCCGGCCAACGCAGGCCCAGCGGCCTCGGTAGTGTGCTCGGGACCGAAGAACCTCCTACTTAGAGGGACCTGCGGGTCCACTTAACGCAGACTCCCCGCGGCATCACTGCCCGGCGAGCTCTGAGCGCTAGAAGCTGCACTTGGTGATGTCCATTTGACGTGCTGGATCTGAAAGTGTTTGTCCAAGCGCTGCGCAGCAGCCGCGCCCCTGCTATTTGGTCTGGCCGCTCTTTTGCCCCCCTACTGGGTTCTCGCTGTACTCAGACACAGTGGCGTGGCCAGTCCCAACTTCTTGGTGGACTCTGGCTGTGCCCCTGGCCGAAGGCTTCCTCCCTTCGGGGACAGAAGCATTCCCGGGGGTAAGGGACAGCTGCTGCTGGGAATATTGCACCCTGTTACATTTGCACTAAGCCCAGGGATTCTCTAAAACCATCTGACCTCTCGCCTCCACCCCACAGGTTAGTTAAATGGGGTTGTGATAGACACCTGCCCCAGGGTGTGGCACTAATCTCCGAGGCACCTCCCCCTGCGTGGCATTGCCCATTGCCCATTGCCGGGGTAGGTGTACTTCCCCAGAGGAAATATGGGGACTGTGCTCGTGGTGGAGCTTAGTCCAGAKAGCACTGAGAACTGGGCACCAGCTACTGCAAGGATCTGTGGGCTCCCTGGCCCCATTAAGAGTCAAACTTGAGTTAAGACCACACCTCATCTGATGGGGTACACCCCTCTCTGATGGGGGGCATCTGTGTCCCCTGGAATGAGCAACCATTTAAAGGCAGCGTCTTGTGATTCCAGAGCTGCATGCCCACCTCCTTCCTCTGGGTCACAGTACTCTCCTATACTGGTCCCTCTGGGGGAGGCCTGAAGACCAGCTGGTCTTACCTGCAGCAATGCTTTCTGGGTTCTCTCCAGATCCTGAGCTCCAGGTTTGTGACTTATGTCTGGAAACAGGGTAGAGGCCGAGTCAAATCCCTTGTGGTGACTTAAGTCAGGTTTTGGCCACCAGGCCTAGACTGTCTCTGTGCACAGAGTGAGCAGTGTTCTAGGGGACTGCCCACTTCTTTTGCTCCCAGGGACCCTCTGATTAGCTGGGGTTCCTACAGGCCAGGACACTGAGTACCAGGCTGGCTGCCTGCTACAGGGCTTGCCCCCCTCAGCTTCAGCAGCTCTGGGTCACATCATCCCTGTGACATCCAGAGCCCATCTCAAGAATGGCACCCCATCCCCATGGTGAGCTTGGCARCAGGCCCAGAACTGATCGAGAGGCCTCCTGTCACTTGTGGGGTCCCAGGTGGTGTCAGCCACATGCAAAGGTTGTGTCTTCGACCTGTCTAGTTGGGGTGTAGGTGTGCAGGTCACACTGGATGGACCCAGTTCAACAGTCGTCTCTCTGTGGACCTCTGTACTCTGGTCCTCACAATGCCAGGGACACTCCAGCATCTCACACTCACCCACTGAGTCCCCTGTTGAGTCCGAATTTCAGTCAATCCAAAAAACAAGCTGTGGTGGGCTCCAAGGGCGGGTCTAGGGGCTGGRTGCACTGATGGGCAGTGGGCACACCTGCCTCAGGAATCCAGCCCCATCTGGGCTCTGTCTCAGCCTCCTGTCTCACACCCTGGAATCCACTTCCACACATAACTAACTCCCCAGGTCTCTGCCAACATAGATTTGAAAATCTTTGAATTCTTGTAGTCTGTAAACCGGGGTTTGGCAACTGCACCCTGTAAGCCAGGTCTGGCCTGGAGCCTACTTTGTTTTGTACAGCCTGTGAGCTAAAAATGGTTCACATTGGAAAGGGTTGAGAAACACACACACCCTGCCACCACCAAGACAGAGGAAGGAGGAAGAGGAGGARGATAGGAAGTGGACAGAGATCCGTGTGTTGTGCAGAGCCTTAGATGTAGACTGTTTGGTCCTTACAGAAAAAGAACCCCAGCCCTGCTCGGAGTGGTTTCCTRCAGTGTCCCAGGGGCCCTGCTCGGAGTGGTTTCCTGCAGTGTCCCAGGTGGCCCTGCTCTGAGGGTTCACTGCAGGCTGTGGAGCTCCTTGAGGAAGATGGGAACCCCTGGAGGACTTGCAAATGTGGGATGCCAGTCCCTTGGGCCACTGCTACTAGGGCCACGGGAGAGGCTGTGAGTGGCCTGGGAGACTCAGGAGGTCAGCCTTCGTAGAGATTCAGCACTGCCCTTTGAGTTCAGGGTCATCTTTCTATCAAGGCCCCAACTTTGAAGCCAGGAAGCTGGCGAGGGTGTGAGTGGTGCACGCCTAAGGTGTGGAGCCACAGTGGCATCTGCCCAGGGGGAATGGTCATCCCTGCTGCCTGGGGCAAGGGTGGAGGAAACGGTGACTCCCATAGGCCCAGGCCAGTGGCAGGCATTTCCACTGTCAAGGTCAGCAGTGCAGTGCAGTCTAGCCCCAGGTCAAGTCCAAAGCAAGGCCCATTCCACCTCGGAAGACCTGCATCCTGGAACCAGCCCTGGGACCAGACTTCTGTTTTGTGCGGTCCCGGTCAGCTGGCAGAAGCCACAGTGGTCATGTGAACAGAGTGGGAGGGGAAGACCTCTAACCAGAAAAGGACTTGAACTATTAAAAGGGCACATGAGAACCCGAAGAAGACAGGGATAGCAAACCGGGACAGAGAAGAGGGGGGGGGAACAGGCCCCGGGGGAACAATCCGTCCAGGACAGGGCRGACCCTGCTGGAGGGCCCTGCAGCCTGCCGTGGGAAGGGAACTGCCAAGGGTGAGAACCAGGGTCACCTGTGGGGAGACCACCAGTGGGCCCCRGAACCCAGAGCGAGTGCGATGGCCAGGAACTCCGCCAGGCAGCTGAGAGCGCGACTGCATTTCCACCGTCTGCCGTACACAGTGCTGTACCCGGCCAGATGCAAGAAGCAGCCACAGGTGGCAGAGCAGGTTGCCAAAGAGCAGGGCCAGGAGGGAGCCGGGCGGTAGAGCAGGTGCCCATGGTTGAGGCTGGGCCCATCCCCCGCACCCCAGACACAACAGAAAGGGAAGCCCCTGCCCCCGCTGGGCAGACCCAAAGCCCTTGTGGCCTGGCCCATCGCCCGCTCATGCCCAGCCCTGGCCTCTCAGCCTCTGCTATTCCAGGTCCCTCCACCAATCCCTGGCCTGAAGGCTCCTCACCAGCAAGCCCACGAAATCCAGGGCAGGTATGGGATCCACAAATCGAGCTGGCCAGGTGGCTCTGGTGTGGCTCCCGGCGTCCACCTCTGCACTATTCTCCAGCTGGAATCGGCAAAGCCTTGATATCTGTGGGGGTGGCAGATGGCCACCCATCTCCCTGATGCACCTGGGTCTCCCTCAAGTTAAGTGGAGGAGAGGAGGGGTGGCGGCTCCCACTTGAGGTATGGTCAGCAAGTGAGGGCAGCTGCCCAGACAGGGCACTGCTGCTTCTGCTGCTGGGAAGGCTTAGTGGGACCACGGGGGGAGGGTTCGAGGTGGACACTCAGTCTCTGCAGCCAGCCTTTCCCACTGTGCTCTGACTCCAACAGGAGCCATCCCGAGGCAGAGAGTTCGATGTACCTGTAACCCTGCCWCCTGGGGGAAGCCTGGGGGAGGGTCTTCAGCTGCAAGGGTCCTGCCACGAGGAACTTGGTTTTCTTTTCTAGCAGCCCCAGGTTTCCCGATCTTCTCACTCTCCTTGACCCGAGGATTTAAAGCCCTCTCCGTGTCATTCCTGAACTCCRGTCTTTCCAGTGCCCGCGGGAGCCAGCACCCACCTGCAGTCCTCACAGTCCTGCTTCCTCAGTGATGTTGCTTTGAGCTGCTTCTGGATCTCCCAAATGTGGCGTTCCAGAACCGGTTCTGGGCCATGACAGAGAGCATTTTGCCACACAGGCAAAGATGACCACCACCTGTGCAGGCCAAGCTACAGAGAACCACGAACAGGGCCGCGCAGAAAACGCAAGTGTCCTGTGGCACTGTGGGGCCCAGAGGCCTGAGGTCAGGTTTCAGCCGCAGGCTCCCCTGGGCTCTGAGGGAAGTCTGTTCTAGGCTCTCCCYGCGCTGGTGGTGCTGGCAACCCTTGGCTGCTGGTCTGGGAGGAGGGCTAGGGCTCAACGTGAGTTTCAGGGTCCCAGCTCCAGCTGGAACACAACAGCAAGGCTGTTGCTGAGCTCCGTTCCTGTTGGAGGAGCTGCTTCCTGAATGACTTCTGACACTGGATACTGGGCTGCATGTTCTCAGGAAGGCAGGAGCCTCTCTGGGCATCCCAAGCAGGAAGGTACGTGCTGCAGAGAACCAAGGGCTCAAAACCACGAAAAGAGTTGGAGGAATGAAGACTAGGGAGTCCCATCCCTGGATGGTGGGGACAGCAGCATTGGARTCTGGGGCCACTAGATCTGCAGGAAGCCCTCTGTGGTGTGAGCAGACATGCAAAGGCCATCCCACAAATTGCAGGCCCACCAGGTGGACTGCCACGGCCAGGAGATGGTGACAAGGACTCCCCACCTTCTCCACCTCTAGAGAGAGCTTCGCAATAGTGGGAATTAACCTGTATTCAAGCTCGAAGCTCCAGCCTGTGCGGACCCGGAGTAGCAGCAGGCTAGGAAATGTGGGGCAGGTGCTGGGGAGGCAGGAGGCAATCAGGAAGTGGCATTCCGGTGGCCTGGAGATGACATGTCTAGAAAGAGGCAAATGGTGTGAAAGGGGTCTCTGTGGGAGCCAGTGCTATAAACCCCACGTCATTCAAGAGTCATCTGTGTCCAGAGGCCCACCAGGCTCCATGCAGGGTGGGCTAGGTGCCCGGGACCCATTAGCCCCCAAAGGGACGTTTTTGTCTTGTCTGGCCCATGTGCGTGACATGTCCAGGGCACATGTTGACRCCTGGCTCGGGCCAAGAGACCCCAGGGAACTTGTGA